CCGGAGCCGCCCGGAGCCGCCCGCGGACCCGCAGGGCTCCGGGCAGCCGCCCGCGGAGCGCCCCGCGCGCACTCACTTCTCCAGGAGCGCGAGGGCCGTGCTGGGGCTGACGCGCAGGTACTTGGACGTGGGCTGCCCGTAATCAGCGAGGTAGGTCGACCAGTCCCACACCATGAAGAGGTCCAGGAGCTGCGGGGGAAAAGCGGCGGGGTCGGGGCGCGGAGCAGCGCCCGGGACCGGCCCTGCGGCCAGGAAGCCCCGGCCCCGACACGCAGCCCCTCTCCGGGACGGTGGCTCCTCTGCAGGTACCGCGGGGAGGCAGGTGCAGCCCGAGCCCTAACAGGAGATGCTAATGGGCTTCACACGCCGGTAATTTGGGGGCTCGCTTTATCGTGGGGAGGGAGGCAGGGGCAATTGTTGCTGTTGTCACTCACAGTAATTTAAAACAGAGGTTCAAGTAGGCTCAAATTAGTGAATTAAACAACCAGACTCTACATGTGGGGACCGATCTGCACAACTCTGCAGAGCCCTGGCTGCACTTCCCACCCTAACCAAACACTTAGGCTGGGGGTGGGGGGAAGAGCTTCCACCTTGGGCTGTGGATTCCAGACGGGTCTTTGACTGCCCGTTTGGAGGCGGCCATCCAGCAGGGCAGCCGCCTGCTTGCTCCCTCGGGCTGATGCAATGCCCAGGGGCCTGTTCCCTTCAGAGAGCCCATACCACCCCCGCTGGGCTCCCCAGAGATGAGAGTGGCCTGGGCTCCCTGCCTGGGCGCTGCTCGGAGGAGCCTTTCCCACGGCTACCTGCAGGCTGGGGGCCAGCGGGTCCCGCTCGCGCTGACGTCAATGCCGGGGTGCTTGCAGCCTCCCAGGATCTGCTGCCTGGCCTCACCCCAGCACAGAGGCCAACTTGGAGAGCTCGGCTGCCCTGAAGCAGCCAAACCTGCGGCTACACTAAGTGTAGGGAAGCGTCCGCAGCCCCACGTCCCCGTCTGGCTGGGCCCACGGCTGCTCTGCTGAGCAGGGGCCTCAGGGCAAGCTGGAGTCCTGGCTCGCCTGCAGGTTGGCTATGCCGGTAACAACACAAAAAGTGGAGGAAGGGATTTGCTGCAACAAAACCACTTCAGAGACTGTTACATAGACTATCATATAAGTTATATAGAGATTGTTATATAGAAGTGACTGCTTCACTACTAAAATACACAACCCTTTCCACTTGAACCATTCACTTCTGCAGTCTCTAGGCTGCAGCAGAGCTGTGACAGCAGGGGTAGGGCAGCACTGACCTCCCTGCCACCAACTGCGCCTTGCTCAGAGCTTCTCACCCGGGGGAAAGGAGAGGGGTCGCCAGTCATGCCCTTCCCCAGAGATACAATTACAAAATAAAAGCATAAACCTGGTCTTCACAGCTTTGAGTTTATTTGCTAGCTTTCTCCAATCTTTTCTGTCATCTCTCATTTCCTTTCCTAGTATTTTAAAATAAAGTATCTAATAAAAATCAATGCTGTTTTCTAATTAGTAACTGTAATACAGTCTTGTGTGAAAATACAGTTAATACCGAGTTGTCTCCGGGAACCAAAAAAAGCTCAGCAGGCTTCTTGCCCAACTAGATTTTATACTAGAATATTACAGTTGGGAAAAGGTATATAAGCAGCAAGGAAACTATGTTTCTTTCATGGATATATATGGATATATATGGATATATGGCTACATATCCATGCAGCTCTAGAAATCAAATGCAAATAGTCCTTTCTCACAAAGTGCTTTCTAAGGATGCTCACCATCAATGACCCTTTGGTCACTGAGCTAACAGTGACTCAGAAGGCCCTGACAGTCCAAGGACTAGTGGCATTTGCAAATCCCTTGAGCTTACTTGCTGCCGCATGTCACCCATTCCTGATTACCCACATTAAAGTAGTCAGTAGTGCCCAGTGCTCACAGATGCTGTATGACACACTCAAAAGCCAGGGTCAGAAGAGGGGAAAGAGGATGGGCAGATGCGGAACAAGATGGGGAGGGCAAAGCCAACAGGAACACAGAGGCAGATTCCTTCTCCCTCTCTGAGAAGCAGCCAGAGCGTGTTGATAAACACACTAATCGCTCCACCTCGTCATGGCCTCCACATGGATGATGGCTCCTAGGGAAGGACCAAGCAATGTTCTTGCAGGGGTTGCGTTCAGCAAAACCACTGTAAAAGACGTAATTTCTTATACCTATTGTAACATCTATATTGAAGATTCCAGGGGAATCCTAAGCAACATAGAGGCTTTGTATCTTTTCAGTAATGTGTAACCCAAAGCCACTGGCCATTGATAAAAGCAAGTGTTGATAAGTGCAAAGAAACCTTCCTATAAATAACATGGGAACAATTTTCATACCGTACTCCTAGCGTTTGAATTAGCCATCAAATTGTTGCAGCTCAGGGATGTGATAGTGATGGCTGGGGTGGCAGATTAGACCTAATCTGTCACCTGACTAAACAAAGATAGGCACTCAGGGTCCTAAACAGACCACGCAGCCTGCTGCTTTGCAACTCACAAAGTAAAACCATGTCCCAAGAGACCACGAGGTTACACTCTGCCCAGCCCCAGCGAGGTGAACACCACTGGAAACACTCTCTGCAGAGGGCATGTGCCCTGTGCCAATACAACTCTTCCTATCTCCATACCCGTTCAGAGAGCTGCATGTAGCCACCTCATACTACTAAATCTCTTAAACAGTCATCGTGACGTGCAGCAGACCATGTGAAGCACCAGAGACCTGCACTCAAGTGACACAAGCTACTGCATTGTAACTCCCTTCCCTCCTGCAGGGCACAGGTTTGGTGGCCGCAGCGTGAGCAGTGTGCGCTGCTGCTGGAGCGCTGGAGGACAGGACGGCTGCTGTGCGCAGCCCTGTACGGAGCGCCCCGTCCCCTCGCAGCTGCAGGCCCAGACGGCAGCACGCTGCTGCGCGCAACGGGCTCTGACAGTGGGCACTGTGCGCTGCGTGTTGCGCGGCGAAGTGTGTGGCGCTGCGGATCCGCAGCCTGGCCGCGCGGCACCTGCGCCGACGGCAGGCGGAGAGGGAAGGAGGCGGCTCGCTGGGAGAGCAGCAGCAGCCCCAGGAGGACACGCACTCGGAAGGGGCTGCTGCCACCACCGCACACGTGGGAGATGGCTTCAACCTGCCGAGCAAGGCCTGTCCCGAGCACTGCCCGAAGCTCTCCTCAGCTCTTGGCCATGAGCTGGGACACGGCGTGTTCACTCAGAGGCAGAAAAAACTACTCTGGCCACTCCAGGGGATGTGAAGGTACTCCTGGAAATATAAAGCTGATAATGAAGCACTGGCCCACCAAATCCTTTGGTAAATTAATATTATTCTAGTAAGGGATAGAGATAGCTCAAAATTCATATAAGATTTCTCAAAAATAACAGAAAAACAGGAAAATGCAAAAAAAAACCCTTTTAAAAAATTCATGCACACAGATATTCTTCCAGAAATTTATCTTAAAAACTAACTTTTGCCCAACTCTTCACCAGACATGAAAAAAAAAACCTCAATTTTTGCTGTACTTTCATTCACAATAGTTATATATTAAAATGATCTTATAATGTGACAGGGACCAGGTGTGTGCAAAACCACAAGGAGGGGGAACAATGTTTGGTAATGTTACACAATACTCAAGGTGAAGATATAATGGAAATAATTTGTGGATTTGGCTTGACATAGTGACATGACTCATACTACGGAGATGTAATACGTGGGATATGTTAAATTCCACTGAAATAAAAGAAGGTTATAACACTCTGAGGTTTTAAATACTGTAATTACCATTAACGCGTAAAAAGAAAAAATATTTCAAGGGCAAGTCTCATCACAAAAAAAGTTAATTTTGCCAAAAAAGGGGTATCAGCTACAATTAAACAAAACATTTAGAGCATATAAGTTCAAGTGAACTTGTCCTGTGGCTCCACAGCAGTAAAGTACAAAGTACAAGAGAATTTGTTGGTCCTGTGATAATACTGGTTCTTACTGTGGCAACCAGAATCAAGGTATTAAAGGCCAAATTAAATCAGCATTTCCCTACTATTATTTATTGTACTAAAACTGTTGCTATGACTGTGACAGCAACTGCAAGTGCTGGATATTATTTAGCAAGGAAAAGTCCACAGTTACATGCACTGAAGTAAGAGAAATAAGTACACATAAATATTTTCTTGTTTAAAAAACAACCAAAATCCTGCAGTGTAACACATCTCATTAGCACTACTGGATGTCCACATGCTACTCCAAGGTTAGAATGTGCACTTTGTGCTTCAAATTTACAATAGGAAGTGTCTGCTTTCTCTATGCATCTTTTCTTTCCTATTTGACGTATCCAGGCAATACTGGAAACTGGGCAGAAAGAAATCCTTTACTCTCAGAGGCTGGAGGCAGTGCAGACCATTAGCTGTTTGTCAGCTGCCCACACACACCTGAGGAACCACCCGACTGCGTCAGCAGAACCAGCTTCCTGCCTGCCTGAAACACTGCGATGTGTCCAGCAAACCGGGTACACGTACTCTGCTATGGGAGAACAACAGCACTGTTGTGCTGGCCTCTCTTTTCTCCATATTCTCCCATAACAACCACAAGAAACAAGAATGAGCTAAGACCAGCAAAGCTACACCTGGGAAGAGAGTTTTAGAAGGAAGCAGAATATGTTGTCCTATGAGGAAGAGAGCAGATGTGCTGCGTACACTCTGCTCTGGGAGCGTGCACGCGCCTGCCTTGCCTTTCCTGGGTTTGTCTTTCCTGGAAGAAAAATGTGTGGGAATCTTCATCCAACATCCTGAGAACATCAGAGCTGATGACCATAGAGCATATTCCTTCTACTGTACGTGAACAAGCACTGCCCTCTCAAATCATCCCATTATAAATATTAGAAGTTATGCATTATTAATAACACATCTATAATATATAAATCTATAACTAACGGCCTTTGGTTGCTCTTCTGCATTTGCATCTCCTAACTTTCTGTTCCTGCCTATTTTCTAAAAGCCTTTTACATGTCTAACATAAGCTCTCCCTGCTTGAAATAAACAGCATTTGGGGAAAAAATAATAACAAGGAAAGTTATATTCATATCATGCTGAAGAGAAGATTGCTATTTCTGAATAGAAGACTTCTGATCTTCAACACAACATCATCATAGAAGATGCTGATCTG